CGCTACAGGTGAAAATGCTAACATTCATGGAGAAATCCAGGTACAATTAGGAATTGGAGCAGAAAAGTTCGTCCATACTGTTATAGTTGCTGACATCGAAGAGGATGTTATATTAGGAATGGACGTAATGAATACGCATGGATTCCAATTGGATTTTAAAAATAAAGTAATCAAAGTTGGTAACGAGGAGGTATTTCTCCATCCACATGATGACAACACTATGCAAGCAGCCGTTAAAGAAGATACAGTCGTGCCTGCGAGAAGTGAAACAATCATAGTAGCGCGGCTACAGGGAATTGTGGACGAAGGGTCACCTGTTATGATGGAGCCTTGGAACCATGACGACGAAGTTGGCCGTGGAATCATAATTGGAAAGGAATTGGTGACCTCGGCTAAAGAAATTCCTGTTAGACTTATCAATGTCAATGACTACCCAGTGACCATCAAGAAAGAGACAAAAGTAGGAACTTGTGTACCTGTGACATCCATAATCCGTCAGACGACAACGTCTGATAATTCCAACGACAAATTTGATCAAATGGTTGCAGTTGCTGGACAGTCTCTGAATCAGATTGAGAAAAGGAAATTAAGGGAATTTCTTCGGCAGTATCGTGATATTTTCGTACCGAAAGGAGGAAAGACGGGAAGAACTACCGTTGTTAAGCATAGAATTGATACTGGTAATGCTAAGCCAATTCGTCAAACAGCTCGACGATTACCACAGGCGAAAAGAGAGGAAGCTGAAACGATTGTTCAGGAAATGAAGAAAGACTGGGTGATAGAACCTTCTACGAGCCCATGGGTCTCTCCGGTAGTCCTGGTTAAGAAGAAAGACGGAACAACGAGGTTCTGTGTGGATTACCGTTTGCTGAACAACGTTACCAAGAAAGATAGTTATCCTCTGCCTCGGATTGATGACACATTAGACACATTGGCTGGAAGTAAATTATTTTCTACTTTGGATTTGAAGTCTGGATACTGGCAGGTAGAAATGGACCCGGTAGATAAAGAAAAGACAGCCTTCACCACAGGATCTGGATTATGGCAATTCAACGTTATGCCATTTGGACTTTGTAACGCTCCTGCGACATTTGAGAGACTTATGGAAAATGTGTTGAGAGGGTTATCTTGGAAAACGTGCCTAGTTTATCTAGACGACATAATCGTCTTGGGGGAGACATTTGAGGACCATCTGAAGAATTTAGAAAACGTTTTTAATCGACTTAAAGCTGCCCAATTGATGTTAAACCCCAAGAAGTGCCAGCTATTTCAAGGTAAAGTCAATTATCTGGGTCATGTAGTCAGTAAAGAAGGAATGGCCAAAACCAACTGACAAACATCAAGTGAGAAGTTTTCTTGGACTATGTACTTATTACCGGAGGTTTATTAAGAAGTTTGCAGATATCGCTAAACCATTAACGCGACTTACAGAGGAAGCAAGAGAATACCGCTGGGATGTAGACTGCCAAAATGCCTTTGAGACCTTAAAAAAGCATTTAATCACAGCACCGATTTTAGGGTATCCACTGCCAGAAGGAGAGTTCATCTTAGATACAGATGCAAGTAATGTGGGAATTGGAGGAGTGCTGTCTCAGATTCAGGGAGGACAGGAAAGAGTCCTTGGATATTTCAGTAAAGTTCTCTCAAAACCTGAGCGGAATTATTGCGTCACGAGAAGAGAACTTCTGGCAGTAGTGAAATCAGTAGAGCACTTCTATCAATACCTCTATGGAAGGAAGTTTTTAATCCGAACCGACCATGCCGCCCTTAAGTGGTTGATGCAGTTTAAGAATCCAGAGGGTCAGATAGCCAGGTGGATCGAACGACTCCAAGAATATGATTTTAAGATTGAGCACCGGGCCGGAGTTAGCCACCGAAACGCTGATTCTCTTTCCAGAAGGCCATGCCCAGCAGAGTGTTCTCACTGCAACAAAACGGAATCCAAGGAAGCAGCAGTGCTAAGAACGACGGTGGTCCACGACGACTGGACGCCTACCAAGATCAGGGAAGAACAAGAGAGAGATCCAGTTATACAGAAAATCCGAAAATGGAAAGAAGAAAACCGTCGACCACCTTGGCAAGAAATATCGAACCTAGGCTCAATAGTTAAGACGTATTGGGCCCAGTGGGACTCATTTATCATGGAAGATGGCTTGCTCAAACGAGTCCTGGAAAATGATGGCGGTTCAGAGAAGAGAAGACAGTTGGTGATTCCAAAGAGCAGAATAGCCGAAGTACTTCGTCAGTTACACGACAGTCCATCAGGAGGGCATTTTGGTGTGAAAAAGACCCTTCAGCGAATTCGGGAACGGTTTTATTGGATGAACAGTTCCGACGATGTAAAAGACTGGTGTAAGAAATGTACTATTTGTGCTACGAGTAACGGGCCTTATCGAAAAAGGAGAGCTCCTATGAGACAATATAATGTTGGAAGCCCGTTTGAAAGAATAGCTTTGGACATTGCTGGGTCATTTCCAGAAAGTGATAATGGAGGCAAGTACATGTTGGTAGTAATGGATTACTTCACTAAGTGGGTCGAGATTTACGCACTTCCAGACCAGAAGGCGGCCACCGTTGCAGATAAGTTGATCCAAGAATATATCAGCCGATTTGGAGTGCCTTTGGAGATCCATAGTGACCAAGGCAGGAACTTCGAAAGCGATTTATTCCAAGGAATATGTGATAGACTAGGTATGAAGAAAACAAGAACTACGGCTTATCATCCGCAATCGGATGGTATGGTAGAAAGAATGAATAGAACAGTTGGCAAGTATTTGACAAAGATGGTGTCCGATCATCAGCGAGACTGGGACCAATATCTTCCGTTCTTCACAATGGCCTACAGATCTGCTGTTAATGAATCAACAGGCCAGACACCAGCCAGAGTCCTATTCGGACGCGAGATGCGACTACCTTGTGATCTAGAGTTTGGGTGTCGACCTGGAGAAGATGTAGCAGGTGAAGATTATGTGATCGAATTACGAAGAAGAATGGACGATGTACACGAGTTGGTCCGTTCCCATCTCCAAATCGCTAGTGACCGAATGAAGAAACGGTACGATACACAAGCCGAAAAGGGGTGTTTTAAGAAGAACGATAAAGTCTGGCTTTATAACCCCAAAAAGCGAAAAGGTTGTTCTCCCAAATTGCAGCAGTTTTGGGAAGGTCCATACCTCATTATGGAGAAGATCAATGATGTTATTTACCGAATAAGCAAAATTCCGAGAGGAAAGCCGATGATAGTACACCATAACCGGTTGGCGTCTTTCGAGGGTGACCACGACGTAGATGAAGAAGTGGAAGTAAACCAAGTCCAAGATGTGTCTGACCTCACGTTTGAGGAATTCATGGGTGCCTATGGAGGTACCGGTAAAGCAAGACATGGTGTTACCACTGAAGAAAGGCAAGATCTACTCGCGCTTCCTGATGACTACTCACTGGCCCTTACCATCCCGGCCAGTATCAAAGATGCACCAGGGTTGGCATCCGTCTTTCGAAGGAAGTTTGGTCGAGTTGCAGAACTTCAATGCCAAGTGCCAGCTCCTGGTAAAACCTTGAAACTTCAAGATGCATCACGTTACCTTTTCTACCTGGTAACAAAAGACACTGCCCGTGACCAACCTACCTACCGAGATGTATGGGAAGCCTTACTTCAGTTGAGAGAGCACGTACTAGAGTCCGACGTGCAAAAGTTAGCCATGCCAAAGTTGGAGTGCCGCCAATTAGATTGGAGGGTTATACGAAACATGGTGGAGGAAGTCTTTAAAGACACCGAAGTCCAGGTGTTAGTCTGTTGCAATCCGCATAGTTACTGCTGCGGAGAGAAAACCGTCCCTTGTCATTTCTATACAACTGGAAGTTGTAAAAGAGGGTCCAGTTGCCGATATCAGCATGTCGTTCCAGTTCCAGTCCCGACAAGGTTCCAGGAGGAACCATCTTTTAAGAGGGGGGCAATGTTACGATTTTAAATGTTATGGCATATAGAACTGTAAATATTTTATGACTAATTCTTTTTATTGATTCTCGTAATTTGTAGGTCAAAATATACCTGAGCTTAGCTACCAGTTGTTTACCAGAAATCTCTAGACACTAATTTTGGTGAATCATCCACGTCTCGAGGTTGAAAAACGAGTCGAGCGCCTTCACCAAAATACGAGACTATTCAAGAAGTCCGCCGAATTCTCTGGATGACACAGTTGTGTATATAAATGAAAGATTTTTATTTGGCAGTCAGTCATAAGAAGATCGGTAAACGCGGTACTTGTAACGAAACGAAAATAAATTATTTGTAATATAAATTAGAATTAATAAAGACTTTAATAAATTCGTAATTAGTTATCGTGAGTTTTAATAAATTAGAATATAGACAATAAATTAGAATAAAGACAAATAAATTAGAACTATATAAATGTACAACAATATGTTTCGCCGAGAATTAGGTATTCCTAACAAGATCAAGCAAAAGCCTAATAAAATATTAGCAAAAGTTCAAAAATAAGCTAGGACGTTTGGTTTATTGTAAATGACATGAGGGGGAAAATAACAGAATAAATGTATAATATTAAGAAATAATGCAAGAAAATAAAGATATAAAAATATAACGGAATTAGAGTACTTGGGGGTAACAATAAAAATAAAGAAGAAGAAAGAGAGATAGATAAACATCTAATAAAGGGTAATAGAGCAGATGGATAGGATATATGAAAGAATAATCAATCAGTACCAAACAGTATTATACCCATTTAAAGTATGGATCATAAATCAGAAAGAGGAAAGAAGGAGAAAGAGATTTGAGATATAAAGATCCTTCAGAAAATCTGCTAACTTATAAAAGAGAAAGGAAAAAATAGATTAACCGGAAATTAATGGATATTAATAAACTAAGAATTGAATTTGACAATACAGCAGTTAGTAAATACTATATATATACTAATAAACACAGTATAATAGTAAAATTAGCCCAATATTCAACCAAGCAAATAAAAACATAAGTAACTTACCATTACTAAACAACATAATGGTCCAGGGATTCTTCTTAATCAGTTCCAATAAAGCTTCCAATTCTTGTTTATCAATATTCTTATATTCTTCATCGAGAAATCCTCGCTTCTTTCTGCCCACTCTAGGTCCGAACCAAACTGGTGCTGAGTATTTGCTTTCATCCTCTTTGCTTTTCTCTAATTCGTGAGTGGAGATGTTCCTGAAGTACAATGTCAAAAGGAAAAGCACAGAGACACCTACCGAGATATTCATCGTTGGATCGGTTAGTGTGGAATAACTGGAGAATGGAACGCTTCTTGAGTATATATATGATTTCATGGAATTTTGATAAATGAGGGTTCGATCTGGATGTGTAAGGAAAATCAGCGGCGGGTATTTTAAGGATAAAAAATAAATATATTCAAGTTTTACTTAAGAAGGTGCATTCATAAAATCAATTCAATTAGTACTTTATAAGCAAGATATAATTAACAGCCAAGAAATAGAAATAATATATCGATTTCAATTTCTAGGAATGTAGATAAACTATAAAAAAAAGTTGTGAAATGAGTAGGATCTTTTCAGAATTTTTCAAAATACAAACTCGACACGGCGAGTGTCGTTGATGAACATTCATTTTATCTGACAATAAAATACTGAAAACTTTTGCTTTCAACATTTTCACAGAATTTATTTTAAATTATTATCACTGCAGCTGTTTCGACCAGATTGCCTTTCTCAAGTGATCTATTTTTGGTATCATTTACACTTTATTATCTTTAAATAAATAAGTTGAGGAGGGTAGAACTTGTTGATTTCCATAGATTCTAATAAAGCTAGCTTAAGGCCTTTATTTTGAGTGTAAATAATTAGAAATTTGCCATTAAAATAATGATTATTGTCTAGAAGTTGAAGTGCGTACGTAGAATCTGTTTTTTTTATTATTAAAAGCCCTTTTATGTTCTGCTATACATTTGATAAAAGTTCTACCAGTTTGACCGATGTAAGTTTTTGGACAGTCGCCACATTTAAATTTCTGTACACCGCTCTGTAAATGCTTTTTCTTTTGGCTCTTGTTGTTCTTAATATAGTTGTGATTTTGCTCTGGTGGTGAAAATGCTAATTTCACAGATTTCTTATGTAGTTTTTGATTTAAAATTTTATTTATTGTGTGTTCGTTGTAGTCATTGTTTACTGCTACTTGCTTAATCGTATTCAGTTCTATCTCGAAGTTATTTTTTGACATGGCAATTTCTATTAATCTACGTAACATGCTATGGTAGGCAGGACATTTACGTTGTGTTAGATGGGATGATGAATGGTGTATAGTCGTGTCAGTATGGGTAGGTTTATGAAATACGGAGAATTCATGTTTGTTTTTAAGTCTGATAATTTCTAAATCTAGAAAATTTATAGATTGATTCTGTTCTGTTTCTATTGTGAATACAATATGACTATGGAGTGAATTATATTAATTGATCAAGTTGTCTGTTACTTCCTGTTAAACATAATAGTACATCGTCTACGTATCTACATCAATACAAAAACTGTTTTAATATGGGATGTTTTAAAATCTTTATTTATAGATGTTTTATAAAAATATCTGATAGCAATGGGCTTAGAGGATTATCCATTAAAGTCCTGCACTATTTACAAGTTATGCAAATTTCAAGATGTAAAATTTTAGACATATTGTTTGGATTTGTAATATTATGGTCTAAAAGGTCTTTTACTAGATCAAAAGTTTCTGTAGGAGAATTACTAACATTTATACATCAACAGCAGGCAAATCGGATGCCAAAGCAGAAAAATTCTAGCGTCTTTTATCAAAACAGTTACTTCTTTTATAATAGGCGGAAGATGGTTATAGATAAATGGTCCTCATAAAACACTCAACTCGCACTTATACGAACGTAATAGAAAAAGAAAGATCGGTTAATAAAATTCTTAGACAAAAACTTAATTTATATGAAAAACCCAAGATAATTATGAAAGCCTGATAATTAGCGGAAAAACTTTAGAACGAGTAGAAAATTACAACTATTGTGGAACAATAATAAATTATGTAAACGATTTTTCCAAAATGAATCATAGTTAGATCAGAAAAGGCACGAACAAACTGCAATAAAATGAGAAAGGTACGTGGTACAACAGACCAGCAACCGAACTTGAGAGTTAGGCTGGCAAGTTGTTACATTTTCTGCAGTCTGGTCTACGAAATGAGAACGTATACCACTAACACGACGATTACAAATAAACAGGAAGCCATTAAATTGTGGATATATAAGAGACGCCTGAAGATACTATGGACAAAGTGACAAACAACGAGGTCATGAGAAAAATAAACAAAGAAGTGGAATTAATGAAATCAACAAAACACGAGGGCTGAAATATCTGGGAATTAGATTACATCACCAGCTCTCACCGCCAGCGTGCCTCCTCTCTGTACGTACACATTACCACCGACACCCAGCATTACCATTTATGCGCGCTGGAGATGACACACCTGAAAAGGTATACAACAGCGTAGATATTAACAGAGAACCGATTAATGGCAGCAACACACAGGCAAAACCAAAACATGTCGGATACAAGAACCGTCGAGAACAAAACAGAAGTAGCCAAAATCATTAGAACATAAAGAGGAAATGCTGCCTAGAAAAATCACATTTTTCGAACAACTAGAAGTATGCCAAGATCATCCCTCTAGTAAAACCAAGAGAGGACGGAAGAAGACCGGAAAGCTACAGACCAAAATCACTACTGCAAACATTAGGAAAAATACTGGAGAAAATCATCTACAGAAGGCTGATAAAGAATGCAGAAAGAATAAGAGTCATTTAGGAGGATCAGTTTGGATTCAGCAGAGGAAGAAACTACAAACTCCAACTAGCAAGAGTCATCAGCGACCCAAAGATCAGATTCAACAGGAAACAGAAGACAGGAATGGCCATGCTAGACATCGAGAAGTCCAATGACACGGTCTGGAAAAAGGCACTAATATACAAGATGGACAGAGCTAGATTACCTCATTATTTAGTTCATATATGCGACACAAATCTAACTAAAAGAACCTTTCAAGTTTAAGCCAACCAAAAGACGTCCAGAATTCAAGACATCTATGAAGGGACGCCTCAGGGCAGTATATTCTTGCCCATTGTATATAACATTTTTGTTTCAGACCTACCAACAGATCCCAGAATAAGTACAGCCCCCCACTCAGACGACACGGTGATATATGCACATGACAGGAAAGAATAATCGAAAAATAGTCCAAACCACTGACAACCACCTCGGAAAAATTACGGACTACACCGAAAAATGGAAGATAAAAATCAAAGCCTAAAAGACGCAATTCATTATGTTCATCCAGGAGACAAGTCCACCAGTAGTAGAAATAACAATGGGAGGAAACAGGACCCAGTCAGAAGATTCATTTAAGTACCTAGGAGTTCATCTCGACAGGCAATTCAAAGTCACGAAGAATACTCAACAAATCAAGGTAAAAGCAAACGCTGCTAAAAAAATAATACTTCAATATTTTTTTAGCCCCAGTCCACTAACGAAGACCAAGAAGATCCAGTTATATTAGGCCTACATTAGATCGGTTATGTTATACGCTATCCCAGTTTGAAACCCCATATCGAAAACCAACTGAAATAAAATTGATGCTACAGAGAAGTAATGCTACAGGATCATCAATGAGTCAACTTGGGAAAAATAACCATTAAAGAAAGGCTCCTGTACACACCAATGAGAGAGGTAGCTGAGAAGAGGAAAAGATACTTCTTCCACCAAGCCACAAGAAGACTTCTTAAGACCAAAGACATCCTCGCCAAGAATCTGATCCAGACGATGTTCAAATCAACATACAGACTGATCGACCATATGATCTAGCCTGGTGGTTGCCGAAGACAACCAATCAGGAAAGTAGGTACGTTTTTGATTTACCATTTTATTAATTGTTTGTTCGTTGTATCCGTTGTTTACTGCTATTTGCTTCATCATCATCAATCAGCCAATCGCGTCCACTGCTGGACATAGGCCTCGCTCAGTTCTTTCCAGTGTTCTCTACACTGGGCCGCTTGTAGCCAGTTTCCCGCTACACGTTTAATGTCATCGGTCTGTCATCGTTTAATGTCAAATATTTGTCTCTAGATGATCCATAAAAATATGTGATAGTAATGGGCTTAGAGGATTACCCATTATAAGTCCTGCACTGTTATTTGTATATATTTTATTATTAAATTCAAAGTAGTCCTGGTTTATGCAAACTTCAAGAAGATGTAAAATTTCAGATGTAATTATTGGATTTGTACTATTTTGGTCTAAAAGGTTTTTTACTAGAATAAAAGTTTCTGTAGGAGGGATACTAGGAAAAAGATTTTTTACGTCAAGCCCATTACTATCAGATATTTTTATGGATGATCTAGAGACAAATATTTCAAAACATCCCGTATTCAAACAGTTTTTATATTGGTGGAGATACGTAGACGACGTACTGGTATGTTTTACAGGAACTAACAGGCAACTCGACCAATTTTTATCTTATATTAATTCACTTCATAGTCATATTGAATTTACAATAGAAACAGAACAAAATCAATCCATAAATTTTTTAGATTTAAAAATTAGCAGACTTCAAAACAAACATGACTTCTCCATATTTCATAAACCTACCCATACTGATACGACTATACACAATTCATCATCCCATCCAACACAACATAAAATGGCAGCTTATCATAGTATGTTACATAAATTAACAGAAATTCCGATGTCAAAATACAACTTTGAGACAGAATTAAATATAATTAAGCAAATATCAGTAAACAACGGATACAACGAACAAACAATTAATAAAATGTTAAATCAAAAACTACACAAGAAAGCCCTGAAATTAGTATTTCCACCACCAGAGAAAAAACCCAGTACCTTCTGCTCGATTACATATACAGGCAAAATAACAACAAAAATTGCCAAACACATAAAAAAGAAAGGAATAACACCAGCTTTCCGAACAAATAACAACCTAGGCAAATATATTAAAAATAACAAGAGCAAAAATAAAAAACACTTAAATAGTGGTGTGTACAAACTTCAATGTGGCGACTGCCCAAAAACTTACATCGGTCAAACTGGTAGAAACTTTGATAAACGAATAGCAGAACATAAAAGGGCTTTCAAGAATAGAAAAATAGATTCGACATACGCACTTCACCTTCTAGATCATAATCATTCTTTTAATGACCAATTTAAAATTCTTCACATTCAAAAT